AATCCATAATCAAAATTCTTTGTAAAACTACCATCACCCCTGACAAAACACAAGACCTAACAGCCTAACCTGCCACAGGTAAAGCAGGGGAACCATGGCAGCATAGGCGATGCGTGTGTCCTGAGGCTGGGGGGCATGGCAACCACCTGCAGGCAGTGGTGGCGGTGGTCCGCAGCAGGGGCATGGCAGCAGTGAGCAGGGACCAGCCACAGAGGGGCTGTGCTGACATCGGCAGCAAGGGTGGTCCGAGCAGAAACTTCCTGCAGGCGGCCCCCACAGTGTTGGCGGCGGGGGAAACAGGGGTCCCCCCTCGGCTGAACTCTGAGCCCAAAAGTGCCAGTGGCACTTCTTGGGAGTGGGCACCATCACTTCACCTGCCCTCCCCGCCCGTTGCCTAAGCCAAGAGCATTCTCTGTCAGGAGGGGCACCAGTGCTCTCAGGAGGGTGCATGTGCACTCCCTACGTGTCACCTATGCATAGCAGCCAACATCCTCATTCTATAAAATGTTGTTAATATATGCGCAAGAGATCATAGGTAGTGGGCCATGCCCCCTACTACAAAGGAAGGCAACCCAACCCCCCCACCCCAGTCTGTACCAATCTGACCTTGGGGTAAACTGCCTTCCTCACCTCAAATATGGCAATTGGTCTGACCCTGAGTGGAGGGGCAAGACCTCTATCTAGGAACCTCTGGCTTTAAGTCTCAGCAAGAGCTTTGGCACATCCCAGTCAAAATCTAATGGCATACTGGGCTGCATTAGTAGGATCATCACCAGCAGATCAAGGGAAGTGATTCCTCCTTTCTATTCAGCACTGGTGAGGCCACATCTGGAGTATTGTGCCCAGTTTTGGGTCCCCCACTACAGAAATGTGGACAAATTGGAGAGTCCATCCAATGGAGGGAAATGAAAATGGTTAGGGGGCCAGGGGATATAACTTATGAGAAGAGGCTGAGGGAACTTGGCTTTGTCTGAAGAAGAGAAGACTGACGGGAGATTTAATAGCAGCCATCAACTACCTGAAGGGGGTTCGAAAGAGGATCGAGCTGGACTGTTCTCAGTGGTGGCAGATGACAGAACAAGGAGCAATGGTCTCAAGTTGCAGCAAGGGAAGTTTACGTTAGATATTAGGAAAAACTCTCTCATGAGGGGGGTACTAAAGCAGTGGAACAGGTTAGCCAGAGAGGTTGTGGACTCTCAATCCTTGGAGGTTTTTGAGACCTGGCTACACAAAGCCTTAGCTGGGATGATCTAGTTGGGGCAGGTCCTGTTTTGAGCAGAGGGTTGGACTAGATGACCTCCTGAGGTTCCTTCTAACCCCAATTTTCTATGATTTTATGATTCTATGAATGAATGAAAAGTGTTAATTACATTCTTGGCCTCAGGAACTGTGGCTGAAGACTTGATAAGGTGCTAATGCAGCAGTATCATTCCTGACCCTGGTGTCTGATGCAATGCCTAGTGAAGTCAATGACTACCTTTCCATTGCTCTCAACAGGCTTCGGATGACACCTCTATTGACCAAGATGCTATACTACATGCATGCTGGTGCAGAGGCCTTCATGACTGCTACAGACAGAAGACAGAGGAGAGATTAATCTCACAGACCAGTGGTGCTCAATCTTTTGGTTTTGTGGGTCAGATGAGTGGTGTGGGGCCAGTCCGTGAGCCAGATCAAGCTCTGTGCAACAGGATCAGGCTTTGGGGTGATTGGCACTACCCCTCCCTGCCTGCATACTGGGTTTGGGCACCAGGGGCCTGGCATTGTCCCTTCCTACCCCCACAGGATTGGGCCCCAAGGGTCTGACAGCACTCCTGCATGCTGGGATTGGGCCCTGGGGCCCAGTCCCACCCCACCCTGCCCTACACACTGGATTGAGCACCCAATCCTGCATGCAAGGTCTGGGGGCTCCCCATGAGCATAGAAATTTGGCAACAGGAGAGTGGTGCCACTGCTTCTACACCACCAAATTTCTATACCCATGGGGAACCCTGTGGGCCAGACAAGCTGGCACCACAGGACAGATCTGACCTGTGGGCTGAAGGCTGAGCACCTCTGTTATAGACTAAATCAATCGGAGATGCATATACAGTTTCTCTAGCCTCTACCCTGTCGAGCAGTCATTTTGCTGTTAAAGATTCAATATAAAGCTGTCTGTTCCCAGTCCATATGACTCCCCACCATTAAGCAAGCCGTCTCTCCTGGCTGGGCTTTAAGTGTAGATACGAGTGGGCTAGAACATAGGTGGGGGGTGACCCTGCACATGTGAAATTCAGACATGTCTATATGTACTGTGTATATCATTGCATGATTACCTCTCACATTTTTTTTTTTAAATCCTGTCCTTGTACAAACCCAAAGTATTATTGGCAAGACAGCTAAGGATCATCTTTATAGAAATGATATGGTTTTTAAATGTAGCTATGCCCTTTCAAAACCAAGAAATAGCTCTGGAACTCTGGGCACATCTGGAATTTTCTGATTGGCTGGCAATGATGCTCGGTTATTAATCCCAGTAAAGTCCTGTGCCAGACCTTTTCTCCATATAATTTCCTTTTCACAACAGCAATAAGACACAACGAAGCAGTGAAATTCTGTGGGGATTATTGCACTTTTTGTATGGCTGAAGTGACTTGGCCTTTGGCCTTATGCCTGGCTATGCAATCTAGAAATGCACTGAAGTTTGTATGTTATTACTTGAGTATTATTGTTGGGTAAATAGATGCTCCATACCCTGGAACAGTTTCAACTGTCTTGAAAGACAGTCTTTCACAATGTTTGCATTCACATGTTGTGGCTGTAAATTATGCCCCGAGTGTTCATTTTCTCTTTCAAAACATTCTCATCTCAAGGTAATTAATGGTGTCAAGTTAGCAGTGTGAAAAAACCCTGACTTTACAACCACTAGGGATTAATGAAATGATAGTCGCGGCAGCAGTAACAGCAATACATTGTTAGTGAGGAGTGATGTACCTTAAATGATGCCCTGAAATTATTTTAGTTTAAATATGTCTTTGTAAATGTTTGGCTTTGTTAACATTTGTTTCTGTGTTAAAAATCAAAGGTGGCAGCACTGGCAATAACAACTCATTTCCTGATGAGCTTGGGAAAAGTGAAATGCTGCTTTCCAAGAAATGTTTTCCTTGCCCCAGTGAGCACTATGCAAAATGATCTCTTAATTCAGCCTCTTTCTAATGTCTTAAATGATCCTTTGCATACTGATGGGCAAACACATCAGCAGGTTTTTTGGGTTGGTTTTTTTTTTTTTTTGGTGCAGCAGGAGTTGAAAGGAAGGACTAGAGCTGTTCCTGAAAGAAATGTGACCTGAGAGAGTGTTGAAGTATGCATTGACGGTTCTGTAGGAACAATAAAATGGGTAGGGTCAGGTTTGCTGGGCCCTTTGCACAGGCTGATTGGTGCCGAGGGAACAGAATTTGGTTGCAGGTGTCAACGTGGTACAGAATACAGTTGTGCTTTTACAGTTGGTTTACCTTCTTCTAGGGGTCACAGCCACCTCTCCTAAATTAAAGCAGCTTATCTGCTCTAACTTGTGTCAGGGATGGAGCAGCTTCAGAATCAGCTTAAGAAACTGTTTTCTATGTCAATCAGAACATTGTGCTGGAGAAAAGCTGACCTTCTCAGGTTGCAATCTCCAGTTTGGGAAATGCGGTCCTATAGGTCAAAGTCCCAGTTCCTCAAAGGCTTTCAGGCACCTAACTCCCATTGCAATTATGCTTAAGTCACTTGGGGTGCCTGTACATGAGCCAGGATGTGGCTCCAAGTCGCTATAATTATAGCACGTCAGAGCAGACTTGATTAATCAAGTTTGCTGGAGTGTGGTAATTACTGCACTCCAGCCAGCCTCATCTGGTGTATCAGCGTCCCTGCACTTCAAAATGGTGGCAGGGGTGCTTTAACTAAAGTTTGTTTGATTGCCAGCTCATTCAACTATTATTCATCTGAAGTGATTGCCAAGACTTTAGCTAAAGTGCCCCCCACCGCCATTTTGAAGCGCAGGGACGCAAGTACACAAAACCCTCTGGGCACTTTAAGCTCATGTAAACACGCCTGTGAAAACTGTGACCTGGCCTCATAATCACTTCACTAATTTGAAAAGTTTACTCTTACGCTAAAACAAAAAAAGAAAGAAAATGTAGACACCTGTGCTCTTGGGTATTTGGTGTATTGTCATTATTTTCATTTAAGACCTTTCAATATTTGAGAATTTAATAACATTGTTAACAGCTAGAACAAGGACCCAATATAAATGTGAAAGAGCCAGGGGTCAAACCATATGAGTTTCCATAATAAAAGTACCAAATTCAGGCCTACAGTAAACCAGGTGCAACTCCACCGAAAGCAATGAAGCTCCTATTTAGCTCCAGGACTCAGTTTGCTCAAGGACAAGATTTTACAACTGGCTGGATTACATATGTTACTGCTGGGTCAAATGCCTCCATAATAAAACTACACTTTTTGCTCCTGTGTCTGAATTTGCAATTACAGTGTAAAACAGTAGAGAGCAACCTTGAAGAAAAACCATTTCATCACAGAATTGCTTGGTGAAGAGCCCCATGATCAAAACATCATGCTCACCTGCCAAAGAATGGCCTAGTTGAAGGCTACCATCTCATGTGAGTCCCTAGGGGCCTTACATGAATCCATGCAATGTTCAGTCCAGGATTCGGCATAGACGGCTGCAGACAGTGTCACAGATTTGCTCTGCACTCCAATTAGGTGTGTGCACATAAGGGCAATCTAAGAGAATAAGGGCTCGCAATATCTTTGAAAGGCACAAAGAAGAACATCACACCAACCCTTCTCCAGCCCTCCCCATCTCTTTTGCATGGCTCTTGAGTTCAGATTTCAGCCTCTTTCTGTGTGTAGATGCATGTAGAAATGTGCTTTCTATTGAGGCCCAGTTAATAAAAAATAAAAATAAAGTCAGGCAATTTGACTAATAGACAACCACAGCTGAAAATAATTGTGGCACAGGATCATTCCATAGAAATATATGCTTTTATTACCCCCATCAAATACTAAGACATGTATACTAACACATTGCTTTGTAGACAGCCAGCTCTCCTTGAAAATGGCATGTATTCCCCCTCAGTATGAATTCAGTAAGGAAAATTATATAGGAAAGCAGCTAAGCTAATGCACATTCAACATTTTAGCAAAGCAAATAAGGCCTGATCAAAGGCCTAGAAAAAATCAATGGGAATCTTTCCAATAAAATCAAAAGACTTTGGCTCAGGCCTGTAGAGAGATTTTGCCATTCAGTGTCACGGAAAGAAAACATTTCCTTTCCTTTTCCTCTGAATGCCAGTCTCCCAGCTTGTGGGATTTCCTCACTGTGCTCTCCTGCCAGCCTCGCATTGTTCCTTAAGTTCCATCAGGGTTTGTACCAGGCTGTGGTCCGTTCCATGTGTTACTTTCATAATGTTATAAGCCTTGAGAAGAGAGAAAAAAGGAAAAGTTAGATCGGCACCTCCTCCCATTCAATTCCTTACGCAAAGGCATGAGCAGAGTCACTGTTTACTGGATCAGATTATTGTATTCTGACTTGACAGTGGCTGCACTAGCTACTTCAGAAGAAGGTACAAGAGATGCCAAAGCAGGCTCCTCAGGAAAAGGTGCCCAAGTTCCTTCTTAACCCCAGGTTGAGGGCTTCCCCAGAACAGAAGCAACTTTCTGTGCTCAGAAGGCGTTTCTACATGCTCATTAATGTGCCATAGTTACTGTGCATTAAGTTTAGTACTTGGTTAATCAAATACTAAATCAATGTGCAGTAACTTACACTACTGCGCAGTAGTGCTGGTACATGGCTATTTAGTGACACCTACTGTGCCTAATACTAGTGTGCAGTAGGGAATTAGCACAGTTTTTGCCTGGCCTGCTACTGCAGTGTTACTAGGCTACTGTGCAGATAGCGTCTTGTGTAGACACACTGAGAGATTCCTAGGTTGGTTTCCCACCAGGGAGACCACATTGCAAGCCTTCTCTTCTAGGGAAAAAAAAAATCTTTTTATTGAAAAAGAGCGGCTTTATTTAGGATTGAAACAAATCATAAAATTATAGAGTTCGAGGAGACCCCAAAGTCATTTAGTCCAAGCCCTGCACAGATGCAAGCTGGACTATTCCTAAACCATTCTAGACAAATCCATCTTCATCTTGAAAATTTTTGGTGGAGGAGAGTCTATTGTTTTCATATGCAGCTTACTACTCTCATGTAGTTCTCAAAGTTAAGGAGTTTTAGTTCTGAGATTTCATCTAAATCTCCTTTGCTACAGTTTAAACCCATGTCCTGCTCTCTGTAGTAAGTGAGAAGAGTTGTTCTACCTTCTTTATGGCAGCCTTTTAAATATGTGAAAGGATCCCCTTAATCTCCTTTTCTCCAACCTAATAAATAGATTCCTTTCCTTACACAGATTGCATTCCAACCCCTTTCCCATCTTTATTGCTCATCCATGGATCCCCTCCAGTTTCTCTACATTCTTCTTAAAACATGGACACAACACTCCAGCTGAGGCCTAACCGGCGTTGGGAAGAGTGGTACTATTACCTTCCATGTCTTGCATGCAATACTTTTGCTCTTGCAGCTCAAAACTGCACTGGCTTTCTTGCAAGTGTATTGCATAGCTGACTCGTGTCTAGTTTGTGATCCAGATCCTTCTCAGCCTGTTATTCACTGTTCTGTATTTGTATATTTTATTTTTCTTCCCACATGTAGCACCTTACATCTGTCTTTGCTGAATGTCATTGTGTTGTCTATTGTCCAGTTCTCTAAGAAGTCCAAATCCTCTTGAATTCTGACACTAACCTCTGTAGTGATGCAGCCCCGCCAAGTTTTGTGTCTATCTAGCTCACATTTCTCCAGTTTGCTTATGAGAATGTCATGTGGGTCTGTGGCAAAAGCTGTATTACATTCCACAAATATCATGTTCACCATATTTTCCTTGTCCACCACATTAGTTACACTGTCAAAGGAGGAAATCAAATTGGACTGAAATGATTTGTTAGCAGTTAGTGATCAGGGTTTTACGGTTTGCTTGAGTAGCTTCCCACACACTGAAGTCAGGCGATTTATCTAGAATCCCCCAAAGTCTTCCTTTTCCCTCCCTTTTTTAAAGATGAGCTGTATTAGCTCTCCTCCAGTCCTCGGGGCCCTTGCTATAAAATCCATGACTGAAAATATTATTGCCAGTGATTCTGAGATTTCTTCACGGAGACTGAAGAGTGCTCCGGGCTGCATTTTGTCAAACCTGCCTCCTTATATTCCTTCAAATTTATCAAAAGTGCTCTCAGATGTTCTTCACTTATCACTATTCATGGCAATCCCCCTTTGTTTATGCTGATTTTGTTACTCACAGGGTTTTTTTTCTTTGTGAAGACTTAGACACAGTAGTGACTGAGTCACAAAGGTGGCTCAGCCTTCCTTGTATCTTCTGTTAGTAGCTCACCATCACCACGGTGCAGCAGATGCTGTTTCACTGATCTTTCTTTTCGGTCTACCATATTAATAGAGCCCCCTTCTTGTCATCTTTAACATTCCCTGCTGGTTGCATCTCATGTTTCACACCTTTGCTTTGCTGATATGGTCCTTTCAGGCTCTTGCTGTTCCTTGGTATACACTTCCTGGTGACTCGCCCTTCCTTCTACAATGCTCAGTCTTTTCCAATCCGTCTTGTCTTATACAAACACAAATATGCTACCTCATGGGGGACGCCGATGAATATATTCTCCAAATCCACAAATGCATGAGGCAGTTTCTTATCCCCCTTGAGGAACTGTTCTTGCATTTATCTCATCATGAATATAACACCTGTGATTCCGTCACCTTGTATTATAAACTATTATACGTGTCTTTATTCTTTCTGTTGG